TATAGACAAAATTATAAATAAAAAACAAATTCAGACAACAGTAAAGCCTATTTATCTGAAACTTAATGCAGAACTCGAAGAATTTAAAATAATTACATACATAGGAGAACCTAGTGAAAAAGTTTCAAAACATTCGTCAAAATGTGATTTAAAAATACCTTTCAGAACTAACAACACAATAGGAACATGTTTAAAAAACAATCAAACGAAATGTCCAAAATCTCAAAAATCAGGTGTCTACAGGTTGAAATGCCGATCTTGTCCTAAAATTTATGTTGGACAAACAGGTAGATCCTTCAAGAAACGCATTAATAAACATAAAAGAGCGTTTAAAAATAATAGTCTAGATTCTAATTATGCTACACACTTAAACACAGAAAAAGACATTTTTGACGACAATTTTGATATTTTATATACATCCACAAAAAGTGGAAAATTAAATTTATTGGAAGCCATGGAGATTAACAAAATGAGACATTCAAATGTATTGCTTAACTTTTTTTCGGTATATATAGTACCAGGTAGTTTGTAAATATTACATTTGATAAAGACACGGTGTTGTCGAAACAATGATCATGTAAAAATATATAATTTCGTGAAAATCTGAACTTTCAGTTCTTATTTATTTTGATAAATGGATTTTCATCAAGTAAAAGCCACCTCAGTTCAATTTTTACAAAGTCATTCTTATCTTATCTATTAGGTGAGATAAGAGCCGTAATGCAAGAATTGAAATGACAGGTCTTATTGCTGAAAGCGAGCAATGGCTTCTTAGTATTTTTTTTATGTTGGTTCCAAAAAGATCGGTATTTTCAGTATCTATACACGAACAATTTCGAAAAATTGTACATTCATTTTAAAAATATTTTCCATTATACGTAACGTTCCGTAAAAGTTTGGAAATACAGAAATATTTTTTTTTTTAATGAAACCTCTCCGTATATTTTGACAATTTTTGATTCCTCAAAGAAATCTTTGTATGTACACAAAATCTTGCCAACTTAACGAAATTTAAATTAAATTTTTTGATTCCTTAAATAGAACATCCAACTACTTTCTCGATTTGAATTTTTCACCCTATATTAGTTTTGTTTATTATATTTTATTCTATATTGTATTGCGCCACAAACACCAAATATGCAGTACTTGCCTTCCACTTAAGAAAATCTTTGTTTATGGTTCAATTTTTAATTTATTTTTTTGTTGGATATTGCTTATTGCTTCAACGTAAAACCATAGCCAACTGGGACTATTTAACAAAAGAGAGAGGTCCAATTAGGGATTTTTTATAGAATCAGTTGCACTTAAAACCTATCTATACGAATTATTGTTTGCCTCCTGCTTAAGGCTCTACATCCTCGTGAAAACGTTTTGATTTTGATAATTCTTTGATGGATCTCTTAAAAACGAATTAAAATCTGATGTTGCTTATTACATCAATCTAAAGTCATGGCCAACTGGGACTAGTTTTTGATGCCATATACCGAGAAGGGCTATTGGGCATTTCTTTAAGCATTAAGTGTCAACGAATTATTATTCAGAACTACATAAAACCTAACTATACTAATTTTCATGAAGCTCGAATTACTATCTCCTATATCACAAGATAGTCAAACGTATTATCAAGAATTCAGTAAAGCTCGTAAGTAAATATTTCATAACGTGGGTTTTCTTCCAAAAAATGTTTATTATGCCACGGTAATTATTTTTGAATTTTAATGCAACATTGCCAAAAAATTGAACATATTTAAAAGAACACCCCTTCCTCTTATAGATCTGTCCATCCGCTCCCTCTATATAAGAAATAGAATAGGATAGTCGAGAATAAAATATGACATCATTAAAGCACGTAAGAAATTATTTCATAAGGGTTTTTCCAAATTGAATTCTGTTTCTTTAACTAGAATTACTATTACTTTTAAATATTATCACTCTTCAACTTTTGTTAATTTTTCCGTATATCTATCGATTCAAGTTTTTCCGTAATGCAAAAATATACAGGGGTTCTATTTAAACAAATATATTTCTGTATTGACACGCTTTTGCGGAACACCCAGTATGTACCACCTACGTTATATGACGTTATCAAAATTGAACAAATGAAAAGTTGGGACTTTACACTCTGACATGGAACAAATTTCACGACATATTAAAATATTATCTTCTTATATAATAAAACAAATAGTATCTATATACCAATTTGAACGTTTCGATTGCCATCTCAAAATGAGAATTATTAATGAAACTCGTTTAAATGATCATAAAGTCAGTGAAAATTCGACCTTTAGCTATCAGATTTCGCATAAAATCATCTTTACCAGCAATTTCCGTATTAAAAACCTCAAACTCCATTTTCAACCAACAATCTGGATTAAAAGCAAGCTTTAAAGGAGAGTTTTTGACGAACATCTTCTAATTTATCACAAAAAGTGAAAAAGACTCCCCTTAAAATCAGTTTTTTAACCGTATCATATTTCCAATGTGGCCCGCCACTGGTTCCGTCTTGTGCAATTAGTAACGTGACTATTAACTTCAGCACTGGTCAGGTCGTAGACTTCCTCTCTTTGTAATTAATTTTTTTTATAAACCCTTTAAAACTGCGATCAAAACTAGCGTGAAAAAGACATTTTTGACTTGAGAAACAGTTTCAATCCCATACAACATTTCTGGCAACGAGTAAAATAAAATGTAAGAGCAGAAAATGTTACTTCTGCGTTAAGTTTAAGTAAAATTTAATTAAAAATGTGATAAAAATAACATACGTATTGAGAGCTGGAAAAACCAGTACAGTACATTTTAAAATTTGTTTGCATTGTTTGCACTATAATTAGTCATAATTACCCTGAGAGTGAAACGATTAGATTGTGAATAAAAAATTTACTTATTTAGGACAAAATAATTATTATTATTATAATTATTATTAGATTTAGGTATAATTTAATCATATTGGTAGAGTAGTGTCTAAAATGTTTTTAGTTTATTTTCCTTCTACAATTATACCTTGGATTTCAACAATTAAGCGTATTATTACCCAATTCGAGTCCAAAGGCACCATAATAAGTAATTGCAAATGTTGAAAAATATTGAAATGTCGATAATAGAGCAGAAGAAAGAGACAACAGAGATTTGAATATTTTATTGCGGGTGAAATGCTTGAAAAAGCAAATAACAAAAGGGATTTAAAAAAAAAAATGTTTCTTAATGTGGGGTCACTTAAAAAGAAATGCTATTTCCTTAGAATAAGACAGGATTTCACATTATCAATTAAGCAATGTTAGAAATGAATTTTATGATCACTGAGGATATTGTTTAGTGGGGGTTGTTTGAACATTTACTTAAAAAATGATTTTTATTTTAAATAATGTTTCTCAACCGTATTTTTATTATAATTATTACATATTGTTAATAAAAGACTTGAGGGTCAAATTTATCGTCGTTCCTTGAAGCTTCCTTGTTACTTAAACCGTCATTTAAATGAAATTCATTCCAAGAACGCTTTAAGGGACAAAGAGGTCTTAAGGACCGAGTATGAGTTTGATCCTAAGAAAAATATAATGATATACCTGCATTTTTACTTTATTTTGTTATTGTCCAGCTTGACATCGTCAAGTTTTGGAAATAACGTCAGTTTTGAAAATTCCTCTGCAGTGAGCATACGTGCTTATTGGTAATATTTTTCATCTTAATTTGTGCTGTCAAATGACTTTAACAAAATGTCACAAGTTTGTTTCGTTTGTGATCAACCTTTGAAAGAAAGTGAAGTTGTTATTGTTGATCGTGGAATAAAAACTTTGATTGATGCAAGTGTTGAAAGAAATGATAAGCTTTTTGAATATTTGAAAGACAAGTAATCTGTGACAGTCCACATGCAGTGTCGTAAAATGTATACTCGAAAGAGTAGCATTAGTGACACTAAAAGACAATGTGAGACAGAACAAGGTAGTACATCCATGATCAGTCCACCTTATACTAGAGCACGAGTAAATGAGCCAGATTTTAATTTTAAAAGATATTGTTTATTTTGTGATGATTAAGCAAAAGCTGAAAAGAAGAAAGCAGAAAGTTTGTCGTAAAATATATAAGGTTTTTATAATGGAATTTAAAGATTCCATTTAAATTAAATGTCAAGCTCACATATTATTTTTACATGCAGTTACTGGTTGCGATAGTACATCAACATTTATTAAAGGAGGTAGAACAGCATTATTTAAAACTTTCGAAAAAAGTAATGATTTAATTGATTGCGCAGAAGTATTTACAAAGAATGACTCTTCTCCACTCGATATCGTTACAAATGGAATTCGTTTTGTTCTTGCAATCTATTGTGCTTCAACAAAAAAAGATACAATAAAACAGTACAGTTGTCTTGTCTACCTCGAACATCTGCTACTGCCTGTCAGCATTTGTGGCTGTCAAAAAGTGGGATTATTTTGATCGTCAGTATGCATTAATTGTCAGGGCCAGACTTGCTCCAATATTGAATTAAGTACAACAGAAGAAATTATTTATTATTCTAATGAAGAGAGATGCACCTTTTATTAGAATAGCGAACAGAGATTCTGCAAGAAGAATAAAATGAAGATGAAGACAATTATTTATTGTAACAACATTTAGAAGAAAACAACATATTCCACTTTGAAAATTATCAATGTTACCATACTTTCAATCAATAGGATACGATCTGATCAAATTTTCTTCATTACAATGGATGGTGGAGTACACCTATTGGGGAAACACGTTAAAAAAATGCGTCAAGTGCAAGGTGGTGTGTAAATTTATGCATATTATGTAAAATATGAATTTTCTAATAGTTGAAACCGCGATATCTCACGAATGGTGGCGAATTTTGCCTAAGTTTAGACTTATTAAGTACATAATACATTCTGCTCAAATCGGCCAGAATGACCAATCATTACAGTCTGATAACTTGGACTGTTGTGTTAGAATTAGAAATATAAATTATTATTTTTCATTAGTTCAACCAATTGGTTTTCTTCTAGTGTGCATTCAAACGAACGTCTCTTTCTTCGGGACTTTGTGAACTGCGTCGCCGGCTCTAGCGGAGCTCGTCTAGCTCAGTGGCTTCAACCGGGAAGCCGCGTGGATCCCTCCAAGTGTCAAGTGCTCTACAACAGAGACGAGTTACGATGCGGTTGGCCCGCGATCATCACGATCCTTACTAGGGACCAATACTCGGATCTGGTGCACGTGCCCAACATGAAGGTGGATGTCAAAGCGTTACCAATAGACAAGAAGGAGTTGGGCGATTCCGAAGCGAGGAAAATGAGGAGGGTGAGCCAACCGGACCCGTTGACTTTTGGCGGTCTACCGCCTCCTCCGTTGCATCACGCGTACGAATCCACCGTAAGGGATAAGATGTGCTTCCACGCCATCACCGTCATGAAACCGTACCAAAATTACTCTTTCGAGGAGCTGAGGTGAGCCTTATATTTTCGAATGCATGCAACGTAATTCATTATTTCTACTTTTGAGAAAGATAAGTTTAAGTTATTTGCTTTATTACTATCGATTAATATTTTTTCTATTAGAGTCTTCTAAATTTTTTTTCGTTTATAAATTTTTCTGAGTTACTATAGTATTCGTTGCATGAGTCGATAATATTTTTAAAATAAAATTCAGGCTAGAGGCGGGTTATTTATCAAGTTGTGGTTGGCATGGTACTTTTTATCACTTAATGATAAAAAGTGAACTCTTGTCATGTGTTTATTTCTATTAAAATTAGGGAAGGCACGGATTGTTGTCTGCAGGTAGTTGAGACAGATTTTTATGGCAGACATATTGTTGCTGCTAAGGGTTCCAATACGTATATTATGTCCACAAATGACCTCTGTGTGAATTGGCGAATTGTATGCAGATCATACAACTCTGATGTTTAGTAGCGAAGATACTAATAGAATGCAGACAAATGTAATAAAGGCTTTTGGTGCCCTCGATGAACTTTTATTAAATATTCTTAAAACACCTCATACCTCATGTTTGGCAAGCGTACAGAGCTGTCACTAATTTACATATTCTATAACAAAATAAAATGTACAATAAAACATACACATTAATAAAACAGAGTATTTTTTATCTTGGACTAAAAAAAGATATTAGGCTTTATTGGACGCCCCATATCAAGCGATGGTAGTAAGCTTAGCTAAATACTGCTACGAATGTGATGCACTGATGGCTTATCATACTTTCGATCAATCTCGACTTCCTGTTTTGCGGTAACTCTTCCGATTTGGAGAGGATTGTGCTTCTACACAAAAAGTCTATACGTAGTATCTTTGGAATGAGCAATAAAGATAGTTGTAGACCTGTTTTTGTGGAAAATTTTCTTCTGACACAGAGATCTGTTTATTGACTCGGTACATGAACTAGATATAAATTAATCGTTTTAGCTGAGAAACGTAACTTCACCTATACTCAGAAAAATGTCAACTATTTCATAATTGCGATATATAATAGTTTTCCATTAAATAAAATTAATAAACACCCAGAAATATTTATTTTAATTTAATTTCAAATAGATTTTCCTATATCCAAAACTTATGGCATTGGCATTGGAAAAAAAGGACAACCGGCATGATAATTTGACTGCCTTATAATTATCAAACAGTTCAATATCTAACTAATTAACTAGCGGAAGTCGCCTTAAATTTTTTAAATGAAACACACATTTCCGTTATTTATTTTAATTTAATTTCCAAGAGAAAAGAATAAAATAGAACTTTATTAACCATTTAGATAGACAACAACATTTGCTACGTAGCAAATGTTGTTGTGTAGCAAAGTAGCAAAATATAACGACAATAATATTGAGAAGTAATTAAAGCTTTTATATTTTTGCACAAATACAATGAGCGATTACACAAAATAGCTTGAAATACAGCTAAACAGTTTTTCAAGGACAATCAAAACAATTCATCCTATAGAGCTAAAGTAGCTCCAAATGTTTAAAATTTGAACCAATCGAAAGCGATAGCGAAAGTGATGTCAATGCCAAATAAAAGTAACAGGATTGGAATTGCTATTTGATTTCAAAGTTTCTTTTTCTTTGCTTTTCGATAACAATGGTATATATACTGATATAGGTATAGGTTTAGGGCTAATATTTATCGATAGGGCAATTTAATAGGAAACAGTATCATTGTTTTTTTTCGGCTCCATTATTTTAGATAGATAATAAAATTAATATCTACCTAGTGCCATATATTATCATTAAATATAGGCTCTTTTTACTTCCGAGATTTCTTTTCATCTGTTTTCATAATTTTTAAAAGATCATTTTGGCTCACTTAGTTTTCATACATTTATTATTATATTATTTATTTTTTGATTTCATTTCATTAGGAAAAGAATTTACTCTAGACGCGGACATAACAGTGATACTAGTGAAACGTGATACTCTTTTATCACTTATACCACCTTAAAAAATGTAGGAGAATTCTGAAGCAATAAAATAATTAATAAATTAATCAAACAATTTACAACCAGAATAAAATAAAAGTCAAGTAAATAAAGTACACTTTAGATTTCGGTTAGGTTTCGCAACAATACGCAAAATGAGAATACAGGGTGTTATTGAATTGACGTAATATAATTCATGAGTTAATCTCAGGATCGAAGGACAAATTCGAGAAAAATAGTCAATAAAAGCCATGTGGGTGCCTAATTACGAAATCTACTACTAAAAGAAGTCTATTAGGCATCAAATTTTACACACTATTAATTTAAACAATCCCAATTACCAATGAAAGTGACTCATTAATGTTTCTACATAGTCACTAATTCACTATTTTCAAAGAAGGAAACACTAAAAAGTTTTTACTTCAAGCGTCCGCTTTAAATAGTTTTGCAAACTGCACATTTGCGTGGTACAACCTAATAAATATTAAAATTGTTTCTCCGGTTGAAGTGGCACACAAAGTGGCCTAATCTGGATTCTATTCAAGTTTTTCCTTAATCCCTTACTCAAGGTATACCTCGCCTCCGGTGAAGAGATCGAGCGAGAATATGTTGGTCCGGCCCAATTGCGATGGGACGTACAGCGCAACTTGGACGCCCGCCTCCGTAGGCTGTTACTCCATGGTGGTGACCATCGACGGCTACGACATGGAAGAAGCCTTCAAAGTAGAAGTAAAAGAGCCGCCGCAGGGAATGGTTCCTCCCAACCAGAATTTGAGCAAGAAAGCCAGTAACCAGCCGAACAGGGTGCGCAAGTTTGTAGCCAAAAACTCCGCCGGGCTTCGGATAAGAGCCCACCCGTCGTTGCAGAGTGAACAGATCGGCGTGGTACATGTTAACGGAACTATCGTTTTTATTGACGAGGTAAAGTTATTTTTGGTTAGGCTTTCGTGAATTGAAAATGATAATCGAATGGAAAGCTGGTGAAACGAATATCCTTCAAGAGTTCAAGTTCTAATATATCATATAATATGGTGTTTGACGTTGCAGTCTCCAGTATGTAGGTTGTGCATTTCCTCGTAAGTCATTCTATCTATTTCTTCAAGTCGTTGGTTGGTCACCGTTATTGTAGTTAGTACGCCAGATATCCATTTCTTTTTTTGTCTATTTCAAACAGCAGAGCTGTTTGCTAGACGGTTTGCCTACAATCCAATCAAAGTTGTTATTTAGGCTTCATAACGTAAATAAACTCACATAGCAGCTTCTTGAGCCGATCACTGAGGTGATTTTAGCGTCTTTAGAGCCGTCCAGTCGCTCTTCTTTGAGAGTTCAAATTTGAACCTGGAATATGCCCTACCTAGCCAAGTATGTACCATGCATATATTCGTCTTCAAATTTTATCCTTATATAGCAATCCCGTAGATCAATCTTAGTCTGAGCTCACTTGCTCCTAACATCGTAAAGAAAGTCAGAATATTACAAGAATGCTACAATCTTTAGGACCATTTCTAGCAGCTGAGAGCACTTCGTCGCACACTTGTCGCTCCACATGCCAATAGATTATAGATGTTCACTTTGCGCCTTTTATATATTTGAAAATCACATGTAATCGTCATATAAACTTGTTGCATCCGTAGCCTGCTTTTGTTTTGTCTACTAGGAACGCGGTCACAGGTTTTATTATGATCGTTATGGACAGCCAACGTATCCACTTCGGAGCTCTGCCTCAACTCCACTTCCTTCGACATTATAGTTTGTACTTTCTAAGTATTTTGGTTTAGCGTTCTATATCATCTTATCCTTGGACATCGTATATCGTCTCATCACATTTACTGCTTTACTCTGACCACCCTAGGATGCTATGGTTCTGATTTTCAGGATTATGCGTATATAAATCGTCTCTGGCAGCAGTGGCCTCATGGAGTCTCTCATGTGTAGTTAGGGATGCTGATTGCGTTGTTCAACACTTAATGTCGAGACACGGTTAATTAATGTTAGTTTTGTTGATTTTCTTCCTTAGTATGCAATGATAGGCGCGCTTTCTGAGATCAGATAGTTGAGTAGGATTTGGCACCAAAACTAATCTGTTTAGTTTTTGGTGCGACAACTGACAGTCTGGTGTCATAGCTCCTTGATAATTATTTTTAGCCTTTCTCATTGGGGGAAGGAAATCTGTAACAGGGAAGTTGTTTGTATATATAAGCTTATGAACTTCCAATGTTTTCTTCCTATAGTTCGTCTTAAGGTTCTGGGTCGAATTCTGTGAACTTTCCTACTGCTTCAGTTTAGTGTTATTGCTTGCTTTTATAATGTATTAGATGTTCTATATAGTACCCCTGGCCTCTTTGATTTCTGTATCGAGTAATATCGGTACTATGTATTCACCAGTCAAAACTAATTTCAGGCCAAATTAGTATTAGTCGAAATCAGTTTACGAGGGCTAGGAAAGGAGCCAATACTAACCAAAAGTTGGTCTGTTTTCTATCGATAGAGTCATACAAAAAGAGTTAGACTATATGCCATTGTGACTCAAAGGATTGATTGTAATGCCATTTACAGTTGTATAGAGCTTAATCTCGCTACATCCTCTGGCTCAGTTCCGTCCTCTTCTTGGCAGAACCTATATATAAAAGTCATGTATTTTCGTATGGTGATAGAAGTAGAAAATTTATTTATATAAATTTTTTTAATTACCATATGAACACCATAGACTATATTAGACCGTGTGACGCCATTCACTTCTCATTATTCATCTACTAGATCCATAATGACGACGGGGTGTGGCTGAGACTTTCCGCCGACACTATAAGGCAATATTGCGGGGCTCACATAATCGAAGCCTGGTGTCTGCAATACAACCAGCACTTGGGCAAAACCCTACTGCTTCCGGTGGAAGAACCAAAATCGATTCTCGATCAAGTGATCACCGATACGATCACCAAGCGAATACCAGAAATCCAAGACAAAAGCAAACATTCCCAAATTAACTACAAAGTGATTAAATGCGGAGCTTCTGGGCATAACGTGCGCAGTAGACCGAGTCTCAAGGCGCCGCCGGTCGGCATGCTGGTTTTAGGAAATCGCGTCGGCGTCAGCGAATACGTTGCGAATTCGGAAGGTTGTTGGGTGTTGCTCGATAAGGCGACGAGGGAAAAATATTGCTTCAGCACCGACAGTGAAGCTTGGTCGCTAGCGATCGGAGACAATATTTTATATTTGGACACCGTTAACGATTCGGACGAACCGCAAATATCCGAGTCGCGGAAAGTGTTCAACTTTTCCTGTCCCAAGTCGGGCGACTTCAACTTTTCCGCTCAGGAGTCGTCGGCGACCGTCAAAGGTGGCGCCACAGAGTCCCTATCTACCAATCCGTTTGTATTCGGTGAAACTAACGAATCGTCGAAATTTCTAAAAAGGGACAGGCGGGAAAAAATCAAAACCAAGCCCAAAATGTCGCGGTCCGAGGAAGTTAAGAAGTAGGTGGTCAACTTTTTTCGCGTTGCGGTAGTTTAATGTTTTTATTTTCACAGTGACGTAATGTCTGATGCTATAAGACCCGTTGCCGAGCATGGCGCGAATGGTAACGGTACTCCTCCGGATACTCCGAAACGTTCCCTAAGTCCCCGCCCTGGTCAGTTCTCGCCGAAACCTGCTAGTCGGAGTTCGAGCCCTGTGGCAGTTTCGAGTAAGTCGCCGTAGCTCGTAGCATTTCAATTAACCGTTAGCGTTTACCTTTTCTTCAAAAGGTTTTATTTAGTTCATAATATTACACCATTTTACAAAATCAATTACATAACATAATTATGAAAATTTCCACAGTCCACTGTAATACTATTTACAAAACCTCTGGATTCCTCCTGCAATGGTTGTTGATGAATTGAACTAGCTGACGTTGCGCCAATCATCCTGTTGGTTTTTTCGGAGCTTACTGAAACTGGCTCGTATTCTACACTTGCTTATATGTTTTTTGAGGTGGCGAAGATAAAGGAGGGGCCTCAACGTTATCTCGGATAACTGAATCCATTATTGGTGAAAGGTCCTGACCTGAATTGAGGTTAAGATTTTTTAGTTACTCTATAGATAGATAGAAAGATAGTTTTAGTTTTAACGAATAAAATTTGATGTCCATGGCGTGATTGTGTTCGGCAACTGCTAATAAGTTTATTTGTCTTAAGGGTATTTTATGTTTTTTGGGCCTAGTTGATATTTTTTGTCCGGTCTCTCCAATGTCTTCTTTGCCGCATATGGAAACTCCAATTGTCTTTTAATAAATATAACGTGAAAACCACACTTACCACTTGTCCAAAAATCTTCCATCCGTCAAAGACAAAATTCCGTTTTGGACACCAGAAGTTTACAGAATATCATCAAAAATATATCAAAAATACTTTCGAGAGATCGGACGTAAAATATCAACTAGGCTCGAAGAACATAAAATAATTTTAAGACTACGACCATTAAACTGATCAGCTGTTGCGGAACACAATTACGAAACCGGACGTCAAATTTTATTGGATAAAACTAAAATTCTTTCATGTAATCATTTTTTCTACAAACGAAAAATCCGAGAATCTATAGAAATCTACTATAAGTAACCAAACAATCTTAACCGCGACTCAAGTTTTTCCCTTTCACCAATATGGGAATCAGTCATCCTAGACAACGTTAAGCTCCGCCCTCTCAAACAATATATAAGTAGGGACAGAGTAGAATGCGTGCCAGTTTCAATTAAACTTCCGAAGAAGCCAATAACATTATTGGTAAAACGTCAGCAAGTTCAATTCATCAACAACCAATTCAGTAGGAATCTAGAAGAATTATTAGTAGGATAATTATGGAAACTTGGAAATTATGGAAACTAACTAAATTAAGTCGAACATGCTTTAGACTATTCACTAGGAACTTCTAAACTATGGATATTAACCAATAACCAATAACCAATATTCTGTTCAGCTCCTACAGATCTTAGAGTTCCAGAAATAATGTTATTGTCTATTTTCTAGAGAAACCTATAGAGAATCATTTTTTATTCTTAAATCTCAAGCATTAAATCTCGATCACCAATAAATTGAATTCATATCACGCTTAAAAGTTAGACAATCTATATCAGATCACTAGACCACATTGTGTACCCTGAGGCACACATAAAGGAACGTCAATGGCTCGTAATGTCAGACCGTTGAGTCTCACTTCTTGCTTTGCGAAAAGAAACTAGAAAAGTTTTGCCCATATGGGTAAATCACATATCTTCGCCATTACTCATATGAGAAAAGAAAACAAATGAAAAACTTTTGTGTAATTAGAATTTACCATCAGCATCAATTTTATTATGGTAGTCATGGAAACATTAGCATCCCATTAAAACTTGTTTTCAAAAATATGCGAGATATGGATATAGTTAGCCATGTCCATGTGGATCGACCTCGTCCCAAACATTCCGATCCATTATGCCCGCACATTTTCCCCTAGTCTCGAGGAAGTGCGGGTACGTCTTTTATAGGGAGTTTTGAATAATTCCTCTGGCTCAATGCATTGAACTTCTAGTAATCTTAATAACAAAATGGCTCGCAGCTGGTGTCTTCTTAGATGGCAGTATTCTCGACTCCAATGCAGAGAGTCATTTATCCAGGTCTCTTTTCAGTACAGTGTCTGCACTTCCAACGGAAGACTCTTTCAGCGCCCCATCCTCTGCCTGTCTGTCAGCCATCTTGCTGCCCTCTATACACACATGGCTATTACATTCCGCTAGTTTATCTAGACAGTCAAGCAGCAACCATGAGCTCACCTCACAGAGAAAGAACTACAATAGAGTATCAGACTAGTGCGTGAGACACAAAAAATAGTCATAGTTATAGTCATAATTTTGTGTGCACGGCACTATCTGAAGGGCTCTCTTTTCCATTATAAAAGTCTTTTTTGTCAGCAGCTCTGCTTTGCTAGACTACTATACCATAAGACAGCAAGCTCATAACTGGTCTGCCATATCATCCAAACTATTAGTAAAAATGATAAACAACAGCGGCCCCAAAATAGAATCTTAAATAATTCCTGTATTTATTTCTGCAACACCATACACCATATTTGAAAAGTTTTCCTATTGGCAAATCACGAGAAAATTAACCAACCTTTTGAGACCTCCCAGCACATCCTGTAAAACCAAACGACTGCATTGACAGTTGATAATCCTCTCGAAAAACCAAACTAAGTCTGACACAAAACATAATTTTTTCAAAGAATAAGTAAATATAGGGACAGGATACATACATAAGAATGCTGTTTCTTTACAACTATTCCAGATCGCACTTTTCAAGCCGACAGTGGCAGTAACAGTCCCCAAATTTACGGTTCTTCGCGAAGCATAGGACTGTCACCGTTGGGTTAGTATTGTTCTTAATGTTAAACTAGCGCCACTAATAAACTATCTATCAAAGTATCTGGGACGGGTTACGACAGCACCAGGAGAGGTTCAAACCAATCCGACACTAGCGCGCTGGTTAGTAGTATAACGAGAGACCTGTCGCAATCCCCGAGTCAGGCCACCCAATCCAGAGAAACGTCACCTAGTCCCAGCGGCAGCTCGTTCCATACCCGATCGGAACCCAGTCCGCCGCTAACACCCGCTCCGACAAGAAAGGAATGCGTCGTAAGATATCGAATCTATTGCTTCTCAAATTCCCCCCACCAAACGCCGAGGTTTGTAGGACAACGAGCAAAACACCAAAAAACTGACGCAAACGGGAACGCAGACATCGCCCGAAAACGTCACCAATTCCCTGAAAGGTCATTTCTCCATCGGAAGCGTCAGTAAAGAGGAAAAGGTGTCGCCCAAATTGTCCAGAAAAGAACGAGGCTCGGCGAAGGCGAGACCCAAAAGGGCAATTTCTCCGGCAAATATGCACCAGCCTTCGTCTGGTTCCAAAATTAATTACCCCGGTTCGGAACCCGTTAAACAGGCGACGAGTCCGTCAGTCGCCGAGTCTTTAAGGGCCGGGTTTGCCGCGTTCTTGTGGCACGAAGTAAGTACCGTCACAAGTTTGTTTTTACGTTAGTTTAAAATTTGTGTGAGATGTGTGCAGCATGCGCAATTCGTCTTGAGTTTTATCCTGGGCAGTTTGGGGAAGATCTTCCAGCAAATTGTTGGTACACGCACCTGTGACGCTTATAAACAATAATAATAATTATTATTATACCAAATCTATATTTATATATCTATACATAATACGAAATAAAACAGTATAAGATAGGAGAATGGTAAGATCTAGCAAAGCTACTCAGCTAAGCATCATAAATCAAGAGTTTTTATCAATTAATTTACAACATTAAATTGATTGTATCACTGTGAAAAAGAGCTTATGAAAATACATTTATACACATTTTTACAGAAAAAAAACTTAAATACATTTTTATAGTTAGTCAATGAGGCGGAGGTGCTACCAAGAACTACAGAGATAAGAACAATAAATGGGAAGAAATATTATTAAAAGGAGTTAAGGCGTGGAAAAGCAGTGCAGAATTACAGCACTCACGTCGGCATCATAATTCTGTAATTAATTTGGCGTGTAAGCTATTATTTTTGCTTGCAAATTCTTGCAAAGCGTTAGTTTTCATAAACTCATAGGTTTAACCTCTATTGCAAATGTAAACAGAGTCGAAATCACCATGATGCCTATTAAAAGTCTATAGGTAACCACAAGTCCATTAAAGATACAATTATAAAAAGTGCCAATTGACAATCTGTTTAAAAAATGGTAGGTATTGGAAAGCATAACCAAGAAAATTAAATACTATTTATAAAACAAGTTAGTTTCAGAGAATTAATAAATTAATGTAATTAGTATATTTTATTTATCACTTGAAAGAAACATCCATATTTCTCTCATTTCTAATGTTAGGATTACAAAACACATGCACGGTAAAAACATTTTTGCAGAAAGTTTAGCCATATTGTTTATTATATCAAATTTTAAAAAACACACAAATAATGAAAATATGTTTAACTAAATTTACCTAAATCTAGTGTTTTTTTTTGAAGAAGCAGATTTCCTCATTTTTGAACAGATTTTTAACAACGGCCTACTTCCAAATAACACTGCTATTATCCAACTTGTTTGTACCTGCGGGGAAAGTAAGACACAACATTGACTAACAACCATAACCTCAAAAAACTAACCAAAACTAATACAAGGTTCTGGACGCGCTTTGATCCTCAACAATATTGCTAACTCCATATAGTTCGCTACTAAACGAACCAAAGTCATCAGCAGATGATATATTGCCTAAAATGCAATAAAATAAGATAGAGGGAAAGGTTGCGTAAGCTGTTACGAAGGCCATCTATTATTTGCGTCCAAGTACTAAAGTACTGTCATGGCGGTTTAAAGTAATTGTATCACACTGCAAATACTACAGTAGCTTGTAACGGATAACAGCACTTTATATTTTAATAAAAAAAAAATTAAAACTATTTCGACATAATTTTTTTTTCACATTTTTCTTTGAAATTGTACGGTACTTTCCGCGCGTTTTCCGTTTTCATGACTGGACACAATGGGAGCCTTCCCCTCTATCTTATACTCTTTGGTGAGGATTTAAAAATTACATAAAATTATGAAACGCATTAGGGAGTGTTATATTTCAATTTCAACAACGAAGGCGAGTCAGGTTTTAATTTTCGTTTCATGCGTTTGTGCGTGGTCATTAAAATTTTCAGCATGGGGATGGGTGTCTAGATTCTTGTGTTTATATGGTTGTATTTAAGGGCATAGTTCACGACGCTATGGCTTGCGCGTCGTTTCTAAAATTCCATCCGACGCTGCCCAAGCAAGGCGCGCTGGTGGTGACGCGCCCCGATCTCACCGTGGAAAAGAGACAGAAAGAGTTGACGAAAGAGGAAAAAGCTAGGCAGCGACATTCGGTCGAAGTCAGCAACGCAGGTTACCTTCACATACAGCCGTCGACGCTCGAGTCGCTGACCCGTTCCGCAGCGAATGCAAGCGCCAACAGGAACCGTTCGAGAAAAATCACCGACGGGATCATCAAAGAAGAGGATAGCAACAGGAGTTACAATTATCAAACTATTTCGGTTCTCCCTCCGGCGCTGAAATCACTGGTGCACCTGTGGGAAGAATTGACGACGACCTGTTTGCAAACTATTTCGGAACAGACCGCCAGTCCAAGTCAAAACAAGGGGAAGAAAGGTGGTGACGCGTACAAGATGGATGCGAAGGAGAAAAACAACACTGTGGAAAAAGAGAGCAAAAAAAGCAAAAAGAAAAAAGTTCCGCCGCGAAATTATTTAGGTAAGTTATGACTTCCAATTATTCATTTCATCATGAGACTCAGCCCTCTTAAAAAGTCCATTCCTATGAGGGAGTATCTTATTCAGATTCTTCAGTATAAGACTTTAGGTCCCCAGTTTAGAGTACCTGAATCTTGCCACCTCCTTGCATCTGCGCAGTATGTTCTATGTCCTTGATAGTAGGATGTGGGTTGTGCATTTCTTGATAGGACATTCTATCAGTGTATTATGTGTCAATCCTTATAATAGTAGCTCGTATCCGCGAGTTTTGTTTGCTATCCAGGCATTGCATATCATGCCGATTGGCATGATATAGCCAATATCCGCTGTGGATCTGTTCTTGACGTCTCTACTGCTGTCTTTTCTTGACTTTTCCCTTACATTTTAGTCCGATAACATGTCATGTCATTGTTACCTTATGCTAATTTGTTGTCTTTAATGAAAAAATGTTAATTTAGTTCAGCACAATTGTCTTGTTTTTCACGATTCTTGCTTTGGAGCTGTCAGTGTACCAATCGTGTCTCTCATGTTACTGATCCTGCTTGGCAAGTTCACTTCATTAGGAGATCTGTCATTGCTAGCTGAGGTATGTGTCTAATGACATCCCCAGATATCGTGGGGCTGTTGTTTAGTGTAAGCCACGATTTCTTTACAGTGTTTATTTAATATGCTTTTGATCTCATAACACTAAACATCTCACGTACTGTTTAATTCTAAAATCGCTGTAGTAGTGCCAACAAGAGTGGCCGAGGTCACATCACACAACTTTGCTCAGAGGAATATACTTTTTGTTGCAATACGTTTACCTGGATCCTGTTTTAAACAACCCCAGTAAGTGCAGTGACATGTTAACCTCTCGTATTTTGTCTACCACTTTGAAACCGCCTGGGTTTGTGCGATCCAGTCTTTGACATCTTGATTTCAATTTGATTTGTTTTCTATACTTATCAACGTGTAGTTATATTTACATTGACGCATCTAGGTCCCACCTAATCTGATTATTGCTTGGATTGTTCACCGGCCTGAGACACCGCCAGTCGATTTAGCTTTAGCAACTTATTAACATATTCAATAATATTCACAATTCCTTTTATTCTTTAACTTAAGTAATGTACTCATGTAGAAAACTGAGACTTCATTCCTCCTTGGCCTGCAGAAGATATAGGTATATCAAGCTACTTGCACTCGTCGGGAGTCGAAACGCTATGCGAACTCTGCAGCGAGACTTTTCCGCACCCGGTAACATACCACATGCACCACGAACACCCGGGGTGTGGCCAACACGCCGGCGGCAAAGGCTACAATTCGGGCGGCAACTACTGCTTGGGATGGGCTGGAAACTGCGGTGACGGAGGCGTCCGTAAGTGTCATTTATAAGTTTTCATGCCACAGTGTTTTTTGATGATTATTTAATAATGAGAAATAAAATTTTTGTATATACTTTACATATATAATAATTTTTCGATTATTCCGCGTTCTAAATTATATCTGTTACATGAGGTTTACCAAGAATTAAGACTATATAAAATGTAGATGGCAAACTTTGCCCACTGCTCTCATATGCTTTTTTCTATAATTAGTAAGGTTATAATTCTATTACGCATTTTTTATTTGTAATAGGCGTTTTATATATGGTGGCCCGTAAAGAATTCGTCGAAAACTCGTGAAGATAATGACATTGAGCCAATTACGCCTTAGCACAATGTCGTCGACTTCTGTTTGGGCTACAATATACAATAATACTAATATATATATCTGTCACATACACACAATGAAATTTATTTTTCAAGGAAATTTCCACAGGCTACTGTAATGCTTTTTACAAAACTTCTGGATTCCTCCTGCGTCGGTTTTTGCTTAGTCGGAATTGCTGACGTTTCGAAAATTATCCGGCTGAAACTGGCTCGTATAAGCAGGTACAGAGTAAAATACGAGCCAGTTTCAGTCAAGCTCTGAAGAAGCCAACAGGCTGATTGGCGAAACGTCAGCAATTTCGACTAAGATTAAAAAAAAAAGTTTTGTAAAAAGCAATAAAATTTATTATTTTTTCATTCTAAATAGGGCTCCTATTCAATTATGTTTCTAAATACAAATATAGATGTTATCAGGAAATTTGCAAATACATTGGACATCAAAATTAACCCACCACTCAAATTAGAGTCAATTTCCATATAAATTTAGTGTAGCTTAAATCTTCATAGGTTACAAAAAATATTTGAATTTTAATTTTTATTTTAGTGGAGTGTTTATAGAAACAGCTATTTTAACCTCAACTAAGTATCTCTAAGTCATTTGATCGTTTCTCATCTCACTTATTAAATAAAAAAAGGAATTTAATGCGAAACATAACAATTACATAAACATTTACCTGTTTGTTACCATTTTTATCCATGGAGGCAGGTGGCATTTGCTCTCAGAAATGTTCTATTGGGTTAAGGTCTCAATATTCACCTCATTTAAATAGTTTTGTACTATTCTTGCAGTATGTGGTGGCATTATAAACGCCTCTTGCAATTTGGCAAACTTATTCGTTAATTTGGTACTCAATTCTATTTACAAATCTTCGGGATTTCGCCTGAGTCGGTTGTTTATAAATCAGACTTGTTGACATGGGTTTCCTAATATCTCTAATGTTGAAATTATTATTATAAAATCTTATAATCTAGGTTCAGGGATTTAGGTGGAGATAGTTTTACGGCACTGTAAACAAGAGAGTTGATAACCGATGATTTGTGGGCCGGATTGTGATGTGGCAATGCATTAAGGTATCGGTCTGTGTACGTAGGTTTTCTGTAAACCGAATGACCCTATCTTAGGTCCGAATTTTTGACCATGAGGCCAACGTTGCATTTCCATAATTTTGGTTTTAGATAGAAGTTGTCGAGGACTTTCTTGCTTTAGCTCCGCCCCCTTAAACAATATGTAAGCAGGTACATTATCCTGTTGGTTCTCACAAATTTCCGTTTCACGTCGAGAGCTCTGCCAAGTCTATCTACAACAATGTATTCCGTCTTACCCCATTTTGAGTATTTTTCGAGAAGTTTGTGCGTCCTCTTCATCTTAGATGCATATTATTTGGTTCTGCGAAGTACATATTATGGCATTTTCCTTTCCATACTTTCAGGACTTCATTGCTTTATAATTTTCCTACATACTTCACCTAACAGGTATGAGCTTTGCTACGGCAATCCTCAACAGACTAGGAGACTTTTTATTCTCTCAATTTCCTTGAGTGTTAAACGCAGGTTTGACATTTGTTTCCGTTAGGATAATTCGAGAAAAAACAGCAAACATAAGATTTGTAAATGTTATTATAGTAGCCTGTGGAAGTCTCTTTGAAAAATTATTAAAAAAAAAGCATGCTGAGATCAGATAGGACTGGACACAGACACCTAATGGTTTTGACGGCAATTTTCATAGAATGTGACAAACCCCGAAATATAAAACTCAACGCTTAGAATTTTTTTCTCAGCCGGTAGTTCGTGGTACTTGTTGTGCGAACCCTGTCGCGACAAGTACATGAAAACCTCCAGAGGCAACAAGCCGCTACCGAAATCGAAGACCGTGTCGCTGCGTAAACCGCTGACCATGAAACCTTCGTCGATGACGAGCGGCTCAGAGCCTCACATCGTTATGAAAAACAACGCTGTGTTCCTCATGGACTTAGCCAGTACGACGGACAGTAATATGACCCACCAAAGGAGAGCGTCCGGATGCGCATTGCCGTCACTCTCCGAGAATATCACGCCGCCCGATTGTTCCGGGCCGTTCGGACCTCTGCCACCGTTTCAATGCTTAACTACGTTGGGCGCCAGTTTTACGGAAGAAGCGACGTTTTACAACGAGATTTTACAAAAACAAAACGCCCTTAATGGTTATCTAGGCGCTCCCTCGACTTCGAACCAACGGGTAAGGATGTTATGAGACCTTTTATATCTTATCCACCAGACATAGGTCAAGGTAACATTTAAAAATGTTTAGTGTACACTAACAACAATGGGGCCTATCTTATTGAGTATTCTATTTAATTCACCATATTCACTTCAACTATTGCCAAAGTATCTGAAAATGCCGACTATACGAGGTGTGTTCAAAATGTAAAGTGACTTTTGTAATTGGGCAGGCTATGTACATTCGATTTTTTTGTTAAGTTGGTTCATATGACCCTAACGTTGTTTTTGTGAGACAGAACGTTAGACTTGTTTTGTGTGCTCGGTGATTTTCTATTGTCAAAAAAAAAGGATTTGCATCAAGTTTTGTGTGAAAAATCGAATACAGTGCTGCAAAATACTTGAAATATTGACAGCATATAGTGAATGTTTGAGCAAAAAAAATTTTATAAGCGGTACAAACTGTCCCAAGATGGCAGAGAAGACGCCGATGATGCTCTCTACGCCCCAGCACGTCAATAACGGATAAAAGCGTTGAAAAGTGAAACAAATGATGTTAGAAAATCGTGGAATCATTATTAGAGAAGTGACTCAAGACGTCTGCACATGAAATGTGTAGCAGCAAAATTTGTTTCGAAACTGCTTAATTTTGAACAGAACACTTTTGCGGATATTGATCCACATTTGACCCAATTTAGTGCAAATGTGTCTAAAGGCACACACATACTGGCGTGTACGTGTGTATACAGTTTTTTTTTTCTATTATACAATGAGCTCGCATCTTTACTTCAACGGCTGCCATATTTATTCCATATATCAACGAGTAAATTAGGCAATTTTTGCCAGTCGTTAAAATCGGACAAATACAAATTCACCGAAGGCTTCCGATGGGAATGGAACCCACATTCTCCGCCAAGTCGAGTTGGCAGGTCTAACGCCTTACCAACCGAGCCATCCTCGGTCTCGTGTCATACAGAAATGTCATACATGTATGCGAATGTGTTCTTTGCCTCAGACCATCATGTGTCAAACAAATACTTTTATTAATGAACGATGTGTGATAAAGACAAATTTCTATATTTATCAGTCTTCTTAAATCAGACAATTTGGAAGTACGATTTCATAAAAATATTGACACGTAATATAAAAATAAACTAAAATATGGTAGAGTTTTGTCCACTTACCGGCATACAGGTATGCACGATGATGCTTGCACGTTGATGAATTCAATTTGAAACAGACAACAACACATGGTGTCAAATTTTGCCCACACACTCGCAAATGTCAAAGCATAAGGATGGCTTGTATGACCCACATACGCATCAATCTGTGGCCGCCTTAAGGAATACAATTCTAAACCCCTTCTGTAAAATACCTAATTACACACCGATCCAGCTTGCGGAAAGTGTCATTTTACAACGTCAGTTTCGTTTCCCACGGATCCGCACGGGTTTGGAAACAATCGGATGTTTTCGGAGATTTGAAGACTTGAACTTTGACGTTTGTCAATTCTGACGGTCATGCCAGTTAATGTATTCCCGCTGTTTTTCAAAAATGTACCCGTAGAAAAAGCATAGTATGGAACATGTTTCATAAACTTTGTAAGTCATTCGCTCCGCTAGTGCCAAATAAACTCGTGACCAAATTACCGAAAAAATCTATGTTCTAAAGGGCGAATCATCAATAAGCTGACCCCTAAAATAAGAAGAACGAAACATTGACATCTGGGAAAGCAGTTGGTCGAAGCAACATAACATAAAATGATCAGAGCCTGTGTTGTCCACATGGAACTTCATTCGAAGAAGCATAAATTTAACGAAGTTGTCGCTTTAGTACATATTAACTATTTCAACAACCGAAGCGTGGTTTACCCATGATTTGACAACTTCTAATATAGTGCATTAACGGACAACTACATAATTGGCTGCACGATGTCGAATAAAAATTTGTTGTAATAAATTTCTTCTCCCTCTTATATTGACGACAATGGTTGTCAGCTGGTAGCAATAGCTAATTGCAGATTATACGAACCACTGACTGAAATTAATGGCTTATTATGTTCTAGATCTCCCTGAACTTGCCGATATTTTTTTTTCTCTCGGTCAGCGCCACATAAATATACAGCGTACCAACCATTTTCGTGCGTAGACCTAGTGTCGTTTCTTACTTGACAGTGGGAGCCAAATCATCATTGATATTGTATTGATGGAAACCCACAGAACAAAACGTAAGAGTCAAAGTCTAGCGCGGGAAAAGCGTTAAAATACTCAAAACTGTTTATTTTTAAGTTACCTAAAGTTTTTTTTTAACTTCTGTGAGCTGTTAAAATCATCATCATCTTAGGCAGCACCTCGTATAAAAATGCAATGTTCCTCTTTCTTCTATCGTACGTTCAATTTGTCTCTAGCCCTTATCCGAGATTTCCCTTTCGGAAAATGAGAGTGATGGCGCGCGAGGCGTTAGATTTCACAGATCCGTATCTATGGGGACGAACGGCGTTCCCTGGGCAAAGGCGGGTTTCGACGGCCGAATTATAATGATGAGGAGGAGAAACAACAGCAGTTGCGTGGTGGTAAACGGTAAATATTGGAAACTAACCGAAGTTCGGTGAACTGATGTTCCTAACACCGTGTGCCTTAGAAGGAGGATCCTCGTTGCTGTGCAATCCTTCGTCGGCACTGCAGAAGCTGATTCCCAAAGAGGAACTGTCATCAGTGGTCAAGCCGGAATCGTCGTCGGAACACAGAGGAAGTCTGAATTTGCTTCAGAGGCCTGTCTTGCAATTCATTACGCAGCAACACGACCTAGATTCGTTGAAATTTTGTATGAAGCAAGCATTAAGGTACGCCACACCTTATAAAGGAATCACATGACTCCAGGGCTCCGGATATTTTCATTTTAGGAAAGCTATGTGTCGAGTTTACGCAATGCAAGCGTTAAATTGGTTGTTGAGATCCGTGACGCAGCCGATTTGTTTGCACGATCTGCTTTGGTGGTTTGTGACGTCTTTAACTCCTATCGAAGTGGAATTTGAAGCGGAGGAGGATAACAGACCTCCCAAAAAAGCAGACGATCAGGTGAGAACATTATGCTATTATTAAGTTTAGGGTGCTGTGTGCGATAGACTTATCAGTCTTCAGCTGCGATGAGTCGACCGATTGAACACTGCCAAATTTTATACCTTTCAGTTGTATCAGTTGTTCCTTTCCTCATAATAGATTCTATTAGCGAGAAATAGCCACCATCGGTTGTGATCCTATTGGTGACGTTTCTGTCCCTTACCTTCTTGGAAGGTTTGCTTTTTTCGTTTTCGTTCAGACCATAGTTGCCACGTTAGGGTTTCCTTGATAGGGTTTTGGAGGAGCATGGACACCATTTCACCGGCATTAGTGCTGCCTGGGTATTCATAAGTATATTGATGTTTTTATGGGTTGGCTTTCTATGGTCATCATAGATAGGTTCTGAAATCGTCTGTACGCTGTCCTTTCCCTAATAAGTCAGCCTGAACCCACTCGTTCCCAGGTCTACTGCGTAGTTAGACCGAAGGCTGTCTGGTGGCAGTTCTCGTTTCTACCAGCTGTGATCTGCCCAAGTCCGTCTGATATAGTAGTTGCGAAACGCACCTATAGTAGCGATTTTGGACTGGACCAATCCCTTACGATACCAGACTGTAGATCTATAAACTGTCATAAAACGTATGACCAATGTACATATTAAGCCGGTACATCTGCTTCTGCTACTAAGTGAGTTTTCCTGTTCCATCTGAGTTGATATCACTACATTGTTGGTTAGTTTAGAAGCAAGTTTAATTCTTAGGTTGTGACCTTTAACAGAAAGGTGATCTTCGAACAGAAGCTCGTCACATATAATATGTGATTTCAGCCTACACATAAAAATAATATCCCTTCGCAGAAGAATTTCAAAAACTTATTATAAATCTTGTGGTTTGAATTCTTTTCCCACAACTAATTTTGTTCAAACAAATAATAAGTGAAGTTCTAGCTAAATATGGTTATAATTGGCGACGAGACCTGAGTGGCTCCTTTTCTATAGTTTTATTAAAAAACGCGCTCATGTTTCATTTATGGATTCTAAGAGATGGTATCCGATACGATAGTGCAATTATATAAACAAGTTCAGTAAACAATAACCGACATTTCAGGAGCTAAACGTATGCGATCACCCCCTGTCCGACATCTCTATCGCGGGGGACGCTGTCCACCCGCTACCTGGAACCTTCCACGCCCTCTTGCAAACTATAGCGAATTTGATGATTTTACTTCCTATGGGTTCGCCTTTGCAACAAATAGCCGTGAGATGTTGGGGTCTTCGCTTCGCGCCGAGCGATCATTCCTTTCTGCACCGGTCTCAAGTGTTTAACAATATTAGCAAGATATTGTCCAGGAGCGAAGAAATGGAAGACTTCACCGTATCCATGCACGAGAGCGCCTTTAGTCAAATTTCTTCGTCCGTCGAATGCTTGAAAGATTTAACGATGTCGGTGGATATGAAAGCGTCAAGTCGACAAGCAATGATAGGTAGCTTAACTGACGGTTCGACAGAGACGTTTTGGGAATCGGGCGACGAAGACCGGAACAAAACCAAAAGTATCACCTTGATATGCCCCCAAGGTCATCACCCCATGATGGTATGCGTACACGTGGACAACTGCCGCGATCTAGGGGTAGAACGTTTACATTTAAAGTAACCATAAACGTGTTCACTAATAATTCTTTTTTCAGAATAAAGTTTCTACTATCTCTTTTTATGCTGGCCAAAATACGGATGAACTTGCGAAACTGAGAACGATTGAGGTGGAAACTAAACTTTTAGGTGGCTGGATAAACTGCCCAGTGACTGGTAGACTATGGTTTCATACTTCAAGGTTCACATTAAAGTTCACGTAACGTCTTTTCAGAAACAGGCGACAGCATAATTCGTCTAGAACTTAAAGGTCCCGACAATTCAGTCCGCGTACGCCAACTGAGAGTGTTGGGGAGAGTTGAGGGGGAACCTCTTAAAGTAGGCAAGCTTTATAGTGCCGCGACTATCCAGCAAAGAAACTGCGAGGCGGAAACTCTCAGAGTGTTTCGATTGATTACTTCGCAGGTGTTTGGAAAACTGATACAAGGCGAGACCCAGAACGGGGAGAATCTCGTGACGTCGACCAGTGACAATGGGGAACCAGTAGAAGAAAGTAATGATCTAAGGGAGCATATGGTGGGAATCTTGTTTAGTAGGAGCAAATTGACGCATTTACAGAAGCAGGTATGTATGTTCTATGATTGAAAAACAAGTTCTTGTATTATGTATAATATTTCTCTCTCTGTAAAAAATACACACTTGACATGACGCTAATTTGAACATACATTACTACTAAAATTTTTAATATTTTATTTCGATTGTATCCGTTCTTTACGGCTAGGCAGCTGCATTCAGACATTTCGATCCACTAAGCCTGCACGTCTTCACTCCCTCCCCTAGAAGAATCCTGTATTCTCGAGTAAATACAGTACCTTATGGAGAGTTTGGATAGTTCCTCAATGAATTGTGCGTCGAGTACTCTTAATCGACTACTCCCTAGTGGTGCGCACCCGGTTCCTTCTCTTTTAAACACACCCTGCTGCTGTTGTTGTCGCCGTGTTTCCTCCTCTTTTAAACACAACCTGCTGCTGCTGTTATCGCCCACCACCTCCCAGCGTTGGTAATCGAGCGACTAAGACTGAGGAGTAGAAGGTCACACAATTAGAACCCTCGACTGTTTCAGTCCTCATATAATTTCCTAGTACAGAAAGAATTGCTTCCTCGGTATTCCAACGGAAGGGTCCGGTCCGAGATATATTACATTCCGTCTTGTCAGTGCTTTTCGGCAGCAATATCGAGCTCACCTTCAGAGGAAAGAACCTGAACAGCCGCTCACCTGTCGCTGCAAATATAGATGTGTTTGTCTGAGTACTCTCTGTGGAGTATTCTCGTGAGCACACACCTGCACAGGTATCTGTTCCCTGTTCCCTGCCTGTTTCAGTATTTGTTTTGGACTCGCCCGTATACCAGATTAACATGAAGGGCAAGAATATTTTCTCGCGCACAGTATATGGAAACAAAATGTTGCAGCCTCAATCCTTTCTCTCTTCATAAATCGGGCATCTTGGTACCGCCTGAGCAATCTGAGAACCGCTCTCCAAACATTAAGCACCATCCTGAGATATAAGCCTTAGAGTCCTATAAGGGCAGTTGAAGTGGTTTTCATGATATTGGGTCTCTCAGTGGAGCGCCACCAAGGCAGTGTAGGTAATGACTGGTTTTACCAACATCGTGTATATCCAGATCCCGATTTGTGGCTTCAATCCCCAGTTATGTCCCAGAGGCTAAGACACATCGACAGAAACGCGCACATCTTCCCACTTGTTTCACTAACGCGAACCGTCCTTTTTCAGAGTGATGTTTATTTGTATCTGTAAGTGAAGGAGGGTAGCCTACACTACAGTACTTAGGCCTCAGTATTGTGCTTCCTCCTGGACAAAGTACTCCAGAATATGTTCTCGCCTGCAAGCTGATCTCTGATGTACCGCTCACATACTAGCCAAAAGATTTTCAAGGCAAACGATGTGTATTATCTCCCTCCTAACACAGGGGGCAAACGTAGGCTTGGTACTTTTGTTCAGAACCTGTAGTCCAGAGAAGGCAATTGAGAGCTAGATCCCCTGATTCCCCAAACCACGTGGTGCGAATTGGCATCGTACCCAAATATGACCGGCATTCTTTTTCTGCTACATCACTATACAACGTCACATAGTTCCTGCAATGGTGCTGGTTGCATAGAGCACTATTGTGTCCTACACGCCCTGTCTGTTCATAACCTCTACTCTTATCGCCATTACTACTTAGTACAAAGGTCCAGTAGGATCTCAGCATGCCATTTCTTCGCCATCATCACGCAAGGCATCCATCACCTGAAAAACAACATAAATTTTGCTGTCAAATCTTTCAACCTTGGCCACCGCACACCAGGGTTCTTAAATTAGAGCTCTTTCTGTCTGCTCCGCAGTCATGCAGCGTTCCGTAAGACAGGATGCTTCATAGTTTCGATATAAGTTAATTTGCAGGTATTTTATACTCATCCCCCTCTATCGGAAAGGGTTTATTATTCCTCTTCGACGGACTCCCCCGGAGTTTCAACAGTAAAGGAGCCCGAGGGCCCGCCCTTGTTGGTCTCCGGGGCCTCCGCGGGTGAACCGAGCGGTTTTTGCTATAGCGTCATGTCCCAGAATCGAGCCACGGATATCCCATCCTTTGCTGATCGACCTCATATTGTTCCCAATGTGGTCCGGTTCTAGCCATTCGAAAGCAGTCTCCGCACCTAAGCGGTTAAGGCTGGATTTTATCTGCTTCTTCGACCCCTGATCTGCACAGGACGCCATAATGTCGACCTGCTCAGACTTATCAAAGCACGGAAGTCTCGTACTCTGGGGAAGGTCGTCGGTTACATGCTCCAACGAGTCTGACGACTGACAAGCTAAGACCTAAGTCCTGGTTAAGTTACCTAAGTTAATGGTAACATAAAAGATTTCAAAATTAGATGATGAAGGCTAGTTTTACAACTATTGCAACTAATGCTTATTACTCTATCTATTGTATTAGTGAATGTTGGTTTTTGTTCGTATCGTTGGTGTACTTGTCTATAATGGGTTACATCTCGTCTTCTAGGCTTAAATACTCATGTCTTGAGCAAGTAAGATCAATAAAGACCATCTTAGCTCCGAATTTCGCCCATTGATCTGAGAGACAAATATCTTTCTCCTTAAGTGGCTCCAGATCTCACTTCGCCTCTTACTCTGGTTATCGTTCTGCTGATACATGCTGACGTTAAATCATGACTGGTCAAGGGTAGGTATTGTTTGGCTGATTATTGAGCTGACTCACTAGCCTCTTTTGTTTCACCTTAAACATTTAATTTGGTCATGAAGTGTCTCTTGATCAGCATTTTTTTTCACCAATGGCAAAGAGAGTTTATTCTGTCAACCCCTCTGCCGCACTGCCATTGTAGATTATGAAGTTCTCACTCTTATTGCTAAAAATATCGTTTGTCGCTATGGTTATGACCCCCTCTGCTCACCGCAAATATGTTTTGCCTTGTGACATCAGACATAGGCGTTATACGTGAGTTTTAGTTAATTAAAATTTATAATAATTGTGTAAATCTGGTTTTATTTTCAGTTTAATACTTCAGAGCTTTCTTGTAGTCAAGGCCTGAATTTCCATTTTCTTGTTAGTAAGACCATTTGGTTTACTTAAGATCGAAGGCTCTGATATAATTAATTACTTTTAGTTCAATTTGCAGACTTTTCCAAAGCGTGCACTGCTGAATGCCAAATACAAACCAAATAAATTTTATGCACTTAAACGAACACTCGTCCCCGTTTGCTGGCCAGCCGTTAGCGAGCCGGTCTCTTGATAGTTTCATTCTCTACTGTTTTTGCCATCATATTGGCGTTTTTTTACGGGATAATATATTTATATTTTCAGGTTATTGTTCATATTGTACAAGCAATCCGTAAAGAGACTGACAGAGTTCACGAGGAATGGGAGGCCAACACCTATGCCGGCTCGGCCACTTCAACCCATAGCAGTTCCGACGCCACAAAAAACTCAGACACTTATTGTTTCGAAATGTTGTCAATGGTTCTCGCGTTATCCGGAAGTTCGGTGGGCAGAGCTTACTTGTCACATCAAGGCGGTTTGCTGGGAGATTTGCTGGTATTGCTTCACACTGGCAGCGCCCGTGTACAACGTCAGGTATACTACACTTCACCGATATTTACCCTAGGGAGATATTCACCTGCGTGTTTATTAGGTTATCTCGTTGATTAAACGAATGCTGCCAGAAATTTCCCCAGAGTTCTTTGCCAAGGTGGTCGGAGTTAAAAATTTACCACCGAAGGATTTTAATATATTTCCGATGGCTAGCAAAGATTCGAATTCCGGCAAATTTGACATACAAAGGTACCGCACGTAGTGCCTATTACTGCGAAAAAAGCTGATCAAGACGGCTGCCAGAGGTCCTAAAACGCGCGTTATGTTTATCAATTTTTCTGTAAGGTTAACTAAATTTCCCGAGTAGTGTATTTCGTTACTTCTCCATCCACCGTCCTACGGGGAATTGTGCCACTCCATCTACAGATGGCAGCAAAGGCGAAACAATTAAAGATTCTTAGCACCACAGGGTAAACCATTATTATCTTATATATTTAAATATATCCTGCTTGTAGAGCTCTTAAAGAATAGGCGATTGCACAACCATTGTTTATAACTTAAAATATATAACATTCGAATTCCACATCCTTCCCCTTTTAGGTCTGCAATCTATTTTTTTAAAGAGTTCTTTTAATATCAAATAAAAACTCAGATCGCACGACTCATTCACACATAAAACTGTTAATAACTGCCTACTCGACGCGTTTTGTTTGTCTTCTGGACGCCATTTTAACAGCTAATCATAACATTAGCGTAGACATTCGCCATTATTTTAGGTTGGGATTGTTAGACGTTTTTCTCAGTGTAATAGCGAAAGCACTGACCGTTCAGGTCAAACTGCGTGGCAAAAACGGTGGAGGGGGGCCCGCCAAGGAAATCAACACGGTCACTTTAGCGACCTCTGCGAATTTTAAAGACGACACCCGTTGGTGGTTGAAAGGATGCACCAATCGAAAGCTGGCGGAGGTCATTGTTCAGCTGATAACGGATATGTCCGCCGTACGCGTAATATAATGTTTTAAAATTTCCGATAACAGGATAATTTTAGGGCAAACTGTCGGAAGTTTGGGCAAACATCACTAAAGGCGCGATCGCTGAGAATATTATAAATCTGACTTGCCTTACCGAAGAACAAAGAAATCCCAATATCTGCATGAAAACACCTACGCTTTGGCTTGCGCTGGCGTCACTCTGCGTTTTAGACAAAGACCACGTCGAAAGGCTTTCTTCAGGTACCATTTATCTTCTTCTTATTTGACGCCCCAGATACAGAATAATGATAGAATAACAGAACAGCTAGTTGGTTATTCGTTAAAAATCGATATTACTCGTTAAACCGGCAATCTATGAGCATGCACCAGTTGCGCGCTTCATTATACATTGCATGTCACTTAGCTTTCATATACCGTCATCGGAAAATAGATAGATAGAAAATAGTGCGGTTGCGTCTATTTACAAATATAGTAAATCCTAGAACGGCTCCTGCCAAAAAGTCGGTCAAGCATAATTATGGAGTTTTGATCAAGAATATGATTACCTACAAGTCGTAATTCGAATTTTGTTTTGGTTTGGTTCTTTTTCGTCTTCACACGTAGTCATTAGAACGTAATTTTCATACGAAGAATTCATAACGTTTTATCTCGATGAGAGAATTTAGAAACACAGCCTAGTCTTAGACGTGCAAATATACACGAATCATGACGGTCACAAGATGATCCTAGGTCAGGCGATCATATGTGATCTTTATGTTGATATTCTTTGAGTCTGATTAAATGTTAGTGAGTTTAGTAACAGCTTCATTACATTGTTTCCCGCCTGACTACCCAGGATTAGCTGGTGGATGTAATGCGTTTCTTTAGGTCAGTGGAATAAGAGCGAAGGTCAAAATGTACCACCTAGGCCGATGTGCACCAACCACGACGACGGTGAAACATTCGCCGTTATCCAGTGCAACGTATGCGGAAATTTGTGCGCAGACTGTGACAGATTTCTCCATCTGCATAGAAAAACTCGAGGTCATTTGAGACAAGTAAGTGTGATAGAGTTCTCTGTTTTGGTACTTTCTGTATATTGTATTTTCAACCTTTAAACATCCTCGAAATCGTTCGCAAAGTTTTTATCCTCAGACCTTTAAAAATTGTCCCGTCCACGGGGACGCTGATATCCAAAATTGCTATCTCAAGGTCAATTTTGACAATTCTTGCTGTTTCTAGTTCTATATAAATCAATGCGCTGCTGAATGCGTACCTATTTGACTTTAAGATATTTTGAGGTGAAACACCCCTATCCTGCATGACTTATGACATCAAAACTGGGACCGCATGGCATTCAAAATATATGAGAAACGTCACACTACAATTTGGAGTTAAAAAAGCCACCGCCCCACAATGAATGGGGTTACAACTTAAGACCCTTTCAGAATAAGACGATAAAGAATTCTTTTTTTTGTTATGGTGCCATCTATTAGATAAGGCGCAAATTTTTACCTTTCCGATGTTTCTTGTTGAATAGATCAGGACAACCAGGAACCACATATTTTCTATAAATTTTCTATAAGCTTTAGAGTTGAAGCACAAAGCTATAATATAATAATCCACACCTACAAAGCAAAAACACAAAAACGCAAGTCAAACTGACGCAAACTGAGAACAACGTAATTAAAATCAAGTGCCACCTTGACATAAGGGGCCGCACAATATCCAGTCCGATTATCTCGTTGCCTAAAAACGTATTTTCATGAGCAAACGTTTAAGTTTCTTCCAATATTTTGGGTGGTATATGACTAGGTCCTGGGGAGAAGTAAGTAAAACTGCTTATATATTTTTGCCTAAATAAACTTACTGCGCAGGTGTGCAAGGAGGAAGAGGAAGCGATCAAAGTGGAGCTGCACGAGGGCTGCGGAAGAACGAAACTGTTTTGGTTGTTGGCGCTGGCCGATTCGAGGACTTTGAAAGCGTTAGTTGAATTTAGAGAGGGCAGCACTCGAACGAAAGCGGCCGGGATTACCGGAGTGTGCAGGTTTTGTGGCACGACCGGCAATTCCGGTTTGCTGGCCATCGGAAACGTTTGCGCAGACTCGGAATGTCAGGTAAATTCCCTTTCGCAAATTTTAGTTGTTTTTTTCACAAATAAACAAAATTTAAGCCACACCCTTGGCCGCAAAACTCATGCACAACTGTTAAGCATCGACTCATCTTTGTTTATATTTAAAGGCATTGAACGTACAGTTCTCCAAACAATATACCGTTTTTACTTTGGTAAATTCTTGTGGAGGTTTAACCGCAGGCTTACCTCGCTTGCGTTTCTCTTTGTAACCGTCAGAAATAGATTCGCAATTCCACAAAGACATTCCAGATCCGTACTCGGTACATCGTGCATACAAAAAAAAAAATTCTTCGTGCCAACGCACGAAAAGTCTCTTGGCAACAGTCAATGTTCAAAACACTACTGTAAAGTTTTAAATGTTCTTCGGATAAGCATCAAGTAGACTTTTTGGGACCCCACGAACTTTAAGCTCTTTTCTTTCTTGGACACCATTCACAACAAGGTCACGTACTGTGGCATACGATCTTTTAGTCATCTCGGACGTTAATTTTATGGCTCTACTTTCCGCAGATATGGATTTCAGAAACAGAAACACATTTAAAATTATCATTTTGGCAGCGATCGGCAAATGTGTCTGAGTCTTTGATCCATTTGAACTTGACGCACGTTCATCATCAACGATTATTACGTCATCGACCACAATCTCAACTTCTTTGTCGCTGGACATCGCACGTGACTAACAAAATTGAATAACGTTAGTATATGGTACCTTTAAAAAATCACTGAGTCTTGAGAAACAATTGAATAACAGTAAGTTGCTAATCACTAACTGCAAACACAAGACGGAATAGAAATAACTCCAAAGCATCGACGACTAAGAATATACCAATCATACAATAGCAAACTGGGAAACCATGCATTATAAATCAATTATCTATTTTGGATTGCTTTCCTACGAAAATATTTTAGTGTCATTATCTTAAACCCTTAAGGTGGAAATCAGTTTAAGCTTCCTAATGTATTTCTTAATATAGGAGGTTATCGAACGCCCTACCTCAAGTAGGGACTGTTTTAGGAAGATTTATAAAAAGCACACTAATATAAATTAATATCAAACTCTTGACTGGAACCTTCGGCACTGTACTAACACACAATAACGCGTTTTACCACAAACCGAAACAAACTGTTTTAATCTTCTCCTGAAGATGCCAACTTGGTTACCGAAACGCGCGTCGAGTATGTAAAATTGAGTTTCGGTTTGTGGTAAAACGCGTTATTGTGTGATAAATTAATATAACAAAGAAAATTTCCCTACTCTTAAAATACACTGCACAGTGAAAATAGGCGGGTCTTAAAGTCGTTCCGAAGTCAAACCCATAACAGGTTGTAAATACGGTATATCGTTAGAGAAATCTACCCTCAAAAATAAAGAAGTACGGTTGGTATCTTTAATGGAAACTGCTTTTCGGTTTTGGTGCTAATTTTCCTTTATTAAAAAAAAAAAATCAGGTCGAAATTGAAGAACTATTGGAAGATGACATTTTGTTTACCTGTGATATTACTTTTTATGTTGGCTTTTTCAGAGCTTGACCGATACTGTTAGCTGGTTCGAGTCAACAAAAACCGACGCAGGAGGAATCCAGAAGCTTTATAAAAAGTATTAAATAGTAAATTGTTTTTAAAGAAAATTGACCTTTTACTTCGCACATTCGATAATTTATGAAGCAGAAATGAAAATAATATGCCAGTATGCAAGTTGGTTAGCAATGATATTATTTTATCTTTTTCCTCATTTCTTCCATTTATGACCCTGATAATCAATGTCAACAGAGTTTTTCGGTTAACGGATTTAATTCACGATGCTCCCCCGCTGTAGCTAGTCCGTTGCAGGAATATGGAAAAAGCGCGTGCGCAAAGTTATTAAATTGTGGTCACATGTGCGGGGGCGTGTTCGGCGAAAGCAAATGTTTGCCGTGTCTGCACGGTTGCTCGAACGACGCGACCTTGCGTCAGGATTCGGACGACATGTGCATGATTTGCTTCACCGAGGCCTTGTCCTGCGCACCCGCTTTGCAGGTAAGAGTCGCTCAGTTTCGGAACACGAAACGTTGTGAACTTGGGACCGTTGCAGTTACGATGCGGCCACGTGTTCCATCTCCATTGTTGCAAGGCGGTGTTGATGAAGCGATGGGCTGGTCCGAGGATTACGTTTTCTTTCTCGCTCTGTCCAATTTGTAAGGTGAGTGACTATCGCGAATATAGGTGTGCAGGCTTCCCAAATATAAGATAAGAAAAGATAAATTCCCTTTTTATAAAGTTGGTGTCATAAAAGAAATCGGTGAAACAAGTCCAAAAATAGGAAACACAGACCACAAAGCATAGCACATTTGACAAACTGCGAGTCATGTTTCCAAAGTTCTGTGAATTTAGCTATATTTTATATTCTATTATATAAATTTCTTAACGTTTGCTCCATTGTTTGGATTAACTTTCGGTCTCGCGACTAAAGTAAATGATCCACGCTCTGTCAGTGATTACAATTAATAATTAACAGTTCTTGATATTGATGGCAAGTATCATGTTCCAGTTCTGGTCCCGACAGTCTTTGGACCCAACGCTCCGAAACCCTGCCAATGCTCAAACTAATCATTCGTCTACCTTCAGTAATGCATCTTCCATTTACTGATGTGCTTAGGCGTCCACTGCGTGGATAGTCTTCTAGTGATGTTCTACCGCTTTTAAAAGGATCGAATCCATCGTAAACAGTACTTTTATATTCTGCAGACTCATTAAATACTCCTTGTAGACGCTGAATAATTTCTGATGTTCTTAAACCTTCTTTCTGTAATTGCTCAGAAAATCAATCATTAGAGTTTTTGAATTATTAATAACAATCTATTCTCTTCGCACGTCCCAGAAGTTGACTCATTTGTTTATGCTAGGTTTTCTTAACAAATACTCTCTTCTTATGTTACTACGGTCTTATGCTCCTATGATATTTTCTTGCCTTACGATATTGATATTAATTCGGTCCGTGGGTGGATTCTTTCAAATTGTTTTCTAAATGGGCATGCGATTTGATTTCAAATACAATGGGTTTTGGTTTATTCATCGGCAGCTCACATTCAGTGCTATCTTCCGGCTTCAGATCATATACTCAACCTCATCTTAATTGTTGACTATAACGACATCAGCAACCTGCCTTCCCTCGTAGTTAACTTTTCCTTTCTTTATCCAGAACGAATTCTATCAGAAGATTACTTATTTGATTACGCCTTTGGTTAAAACATTAGAAACGGGACGGACGGTGGACGTCGAAGTAAAGAAAAAACCACTTAATAAGCGTTCCCTTATTAAGCTTAAGCTTATCGCTTACGTAATCTATGGGACACAACCTTAAATCTGTTATTAGGGCTTCTTCGCAATCAGAATTAAAAAATGCTTGTCTGGAACATATTTTTCTTGTAGTGGTTCTCCATTGTTACCAGTCATCGCGAATATATTTACGGAATCGTCTGAGAAGAAAGTCCTCGACCTCTTGCGTTCCATCACAAAACACACAACCTTCTAGAATCAATTAATCCGAAAGCAAACGCACACTTGCCAAGTATTTAAGAAAAAATAACGTTAAAACCAGGTTTACTACTTGTGCAAAAATCTAGATCCGCCGAAAATAAAATTCTGTTTGAGATACCATGAGAATACACTCGACTAGGCTAATAGAACACGAAAGAGCCGAAAGACTACAAATAAATTCATGAGCAGTTGCCGAACACAATCATGAAACTGGACATCAATTTTTATTCGATAAAACTAAAATTCTTGCATGCAATCAATTCTTCTACCAAAGAAAAATCGGAGAATTCATGTATAATCAATCAAATGATGTTAACGGCAACTCAGATCTTTACCTTCCACCTAAATGGAAATTACTGATTCCAGACAATGATCATGTCACTCATTTAGCTCCACCATCCTCAAACAGTATATAAACAGGTATAAAGTAGGAGAATGCGAGCTAGTTGCAGTTAAGCTCTGAAGAAACCAACAAAATGATTGGCGGAAGTCAGCGAGTTTGATTTATCAACAACCGACGCAGAAAGAATCCAGAACATTTGTAAAGTAGTACTTAATAAGCCTTTGTGGTTATGGAAAACCTATATATCAAACCTATAGGTAGAATCTTCATTTATTCGTTTTGTTTTTTTAAAAATGACCTCGTGAAAAGTGTATGTGACAAAATTAAAGACTAGTTTTTCCATGCCTGTCATTTTTGTTCACTTCCACACCTTTCACAGTACTGAACAAGCTAATTATCATTTTCAGATTGAAATCAAACACCCAATGCTTGAAGAACTGTTAATGCCTATTCATGAATTGTATCGGGACGTTCGAAGAAAAGCGTTAATGAGACTCGAATATGAAGGTTTGAACACGGTAGATGCTGTGGGCACTCCGGGCACAAGATTCTATAACGATCCTGCCGCATTTGCGATGGACCGATACGCTTATTACGTGTGCTACAAATGCAATAAGGTAAGGAAAATGCTCCAAATTTATAAGGAAGTAGTAATATTGACTCATCCAAATACCCTTAATAAGTAGAAATGATCCAGAGTTATTACCAACCATAATCCTTTTCGAATTTGCTGGATTTTTCGAAACGGCTTTGAGTTCTCAGGTTGCAAATTCTCCAGACTTATAAGGATAGTGGTAAGATTGACTCATCCAAATACCCTTAATAAGTACAAATGATCCAAATAATCATTACCAACCGAAATCCTTTTTCTAAGCTGGTTTGACTGGTCAGGTTGAACATCTTGGTCCAGTCCATTTTGATGGTGATCATTGTTCAAGTTTGTAGATTCTGTCCTCTGTTAATGGTAGACTGTTTGCGTACCGAATACTGAATAAAAATAAATTTAAAGGCCTACTATGGTGGAGAAGCAAGGTGCGACGCAGAAGTTGGTGACAACTATGACCCTACAGAACTGGTGTGCGGAGCGTGTTCCGATGTGGCGAGGGCGCAAATGTGCCCCAAGCACGGCACTGATTTCCTGGAGTATAAATGCCGCTACTGTTGCTCGGTAGCGGTCTTCTTTTGTTTCGGCACGACGCATTTCTGCAACCCTTGCCACGACGATTTCCAGAGGGTTACCAACTTGCCAAAGAGCGAACTGCCTCTTTGTCCTGCAGGTACGAGATATTAATAATGTATAGGGCGGGCCGTTTATCTTGGGACACTACCTTATCTCAGAAACTATAAGGGATGAAGCCAAAAGTTAAATACAAAAAATAATTGAGCCATTACAAATCTTTAATTTATTTTAATTTTTCGTGAGCGCATATTAATCTTCTTATTTTAAATGGAACACCTGGTATATTACTTCATTTTTGAATTCTAGACATAATTTGTGTATAATGTCCTATGCCTAAGTCTAACCGTTTTTGACATTTTCAACTTTATATGCGAAAAATGACGTTTGCAAGAACTAAAATAAATATCTTCATTCGGAAGCATTTATTGTTTCACTTGAGCAAGTTGCGTTAAAGACAAAGGATTCGAATAACGGATTTCATAAGAAATATCGATACATATTAATTCAGGGTACGCAAAAAATAAAAATATTTTTCTAACCTTGTCATATTTAGCATTAAAAATTAAGACAATTTTATATAAGTTTGTATATGCGAAATATTTTTATTTTTTGAAATATTTCCTTTTAAACATTTGTTAATCACAAATAATATGAAAATAATCTTGCCGATGCGCTTATAAAGATCCGAAACTATGTATGTATGCATTTATTTATACAGAATAAGAGCAAGGATACGCGATAACGTTGGTGAATATTTTATTAACGATTAATAAAAAATTAATCAAAATAAACCCAACAGCGGTTTCTTTTCCTAGAGGGGCGCATTGTTTTTTTTTTTTTTGGTGCCCCTGCGGAGCACTGAACTTTCGCTAAATCGATGTAACTTTCACGTCTCGCCGAATTTCAAAGTCACAGCAAATTTTGGTAAAAACAAAAACTTGTCTAAATAATAGCGATTTCCAATGATATTTTTTTTAATCATGCAGGGTCATGATAGACGAAATCTGAAACTATCTCTCCACACAACTTACGATTCTGTTTAAACCAAATTTACCCACGAAAACGGCAATTTTCAAGATCTCTTTGTTTTTTTTTTAACCCATAATGGACACACCCATTTTCATCATCAAAATTTCATCATCATCGCATCAAGATTGAGCAAGAGGAATAGCGATTTCCATATGGATTTTTTCAAATATCTTGAGCAGCGTATGTGATAGACGGAAACTCCAAATACAAAAATTGTAGCTCTTAACCCGGTCTATAATACTGTTTGAACAAATGGGTGCGAAATTTTAACACACAATGCCGAAGTTATTCAAGGATCTGTTTCCACTTAGCGGACATAACTAATCTAAAATATTTTGAAAGAACATGTCCTTTCTTGCTTCGTCGTAAGCAAGCGTTTATAAAATAGAGCCTTAGTAAAGCAAAAACTAGATGTCAACCAAGTCTTAATTTATGGTTATACATAATTGATAAAGAATTTAATTAAATTAATACCTAACAACGTATACTTTTTCGGCTCACCTTCATTGAAAATGTGTTTACCATAAACATAAACTATATGTATTACTCAAATTTTACATGTTTGTATTTTTTCTTCTGCCAGGCCCTCGAGCTTCTCAGCTAGACGGCGACGAATGTCCACTACATGTAAAACATCCTCCAACAGGAGAGGAATTTGCGCTTGGATGTGGTGTCTGTAGAAATGCACACACATTCTAGTTGAATTGATTAGTATTGTTCCGTTTTTTCATATTTTTTTATATCGTACTCGGTAAACAGCTTCATTTTTTTAATACGTATATAAGATTAGACTATGAGTAACACTTGAAAGGATTCTTATTATATTTGAATAAATCCCAAAAATAAAGAAAATGTACCCAGTATACTTTATGAAAACCCAAAAATTACCTAACTCAAACTTTCTCGGTTAGTTCACGGTTCAAATGAGCTTGCCACATCAGGAAGCTAATACCAAACGTGTGGATTAAGGGACGTAATACGTCACACGGTCTGCCGAAATTTTTAGAACGAAGCGCTAGCTTCTCGTTAGTTTTGGTTAGTCTGGTTAATCGCCGCATATATAACGTACGTCTTAGGTTTGCCGCCCTTGTGCCACAGAAAAAAGAAATGTCTATTACGTGCTTCTGTACTATTTGTTCTGTGTACAACGCAAAATAGGACTTTCTCTCTGTATTCTGTGGAAAAAAAACTAACCTATACTGCTACGTTTGCTGTTTGAACACTTTTTTTTTCCGGAAACAAAAATTTTGGTTTAAAGCGTGTTCTAAAATCAATACAGTTTTGAAATGCATTGAAATACATTTTCTTTGAAAATGAATAGCAAGAAACAGTCCAACGAGAATAATATTGCCAAACAAATTTCGGAAAACTTGAGAGATACAGAATTATTAAAAAAGAGACTGCAGAAATTAACAGCTACTGATGATTACGTTATCGACCAGGTCAAAGGAGCAGGTGGCGAAAAAAACAAAAAGTATGATGTTCAAGAGGCAAGAGAATTTATGAAAAAGCAAAGAGAGAAACGCATGGAGGAGCTTAGATTCAAAAAGAAGGAAGAATTGAAAGCATTAGAACTTCGTAAAGAAAAACTTCAAGAACTTCAAAGGAAGACCAAGGAGCTTGTCACCAGAAATGTTCAAATGAAAAGGTCAAGATCAAAATCGCCTTGTTTTGAGAAAGCAACAAATTTGGGAAAACCTAGTGCAACATTAAATGTAAAAGCTGCTTCCCAAGCAATATTTAAAGAATGCACTCATTCAAATTCCACTAGCAAAGAAAATGTTAAAAGTGCTTCAGACCATAAAAACTCTAGGTCTTCATCAAAGGATTCCAATTTGTTGTTAGCACCAGAACCATTAATTTCTCCTAAACTTCTGGACCAAAATCCACATCTTTTGAAAGTTCCAAACCAAAATTTTCATTCCAAACTTGATTACTCTACAAAACGATATCAGGAAAAGCATTCCCAACATTTGGATAATGTTTTGTTATCAAATGTTACA